TCTTTATCTCCCTAAACTTTATGTATTCTAAAGTAGACATTTAAAAATATATTTTGTATTTATGAAAGTGAGATAGTCTGATAACTAAAGGGTATGTCCTAGATAAATTGGCAGAATTTTATGTCTTTTTGATACATAAATTAATGATACATCTTATAATCAATGGCACCTAAAATGAGATGGAATTTGGCACTATTTTTATTATTGCTGCTAATTTGACTATATGGAACATGCAAGGAGACACAAAAGGTTTCTGTGCCAATGTATATCATTCTGGAACATCAATTTCTTTGTTTTGAAATTGGGCTGGAAAAAATTGAGTAAGTTAGGCAACTAGAAATTTTAAATGTTTATTTAATTATTTACATTATAAGCATTTTTATATTGAAAGAAAGATGGGTTTATTAAAGAGAAGTGAAGATTTACCTGAATTTTTAAGAGAAAGTTGTGGCGTGTCACAGAAATGCTGGATTTCTGCTCTTGGTGTTCATCAGGGCTCAGCTGTTCAGAGGAATGTGGCAGAAAGCACAGTGTGAAGCAGGGGTGAGAACACCAGACAGAGTCCATGCCCTTGTGGAGCTTGCGGAAGACAGACAGGCAAAGAAAGAGCAGAGGTAGGGTGTTTTAGCTGCTGTGTTAGTAATTGGTATAAGGAGCAACTGGGCACAAAGGAGGGAATGACTAGTTCTGTTGGGGGTAAAATGGTGCCAGTCAAGAAATCTTCTTAGAGAAGGTGAGCTGAAAGGAGATTCTTGAATAAGGACATGGAGTTCGGGGAGATGACAGAATACACTCAACAGGACCCTTGTAGCTTTTATCCTTTTTCCTGGGGGCTGAGACGCTCTGCAAAGTATCGGGGAAGATTCTGCTGAATGTCAGAGGAACTAGAACTTGAATTTACTGGGAATTACTCCGCCAAGGTCCTTCAAGGATCTTGTGGATGACCTAGCTTCAGCAGGACAAATCTAGGTCAGCTTGGAGAACTTGACCTTGGTTTAACCCCCACGAAGAACTATGTAACCTCTTCCAGACATCAGAATCTGTGCTATAAGCTGAGTGTGCTTCTCAGATTTTGCTAATAAAATATAAAACCAAACAATATCCTTTTCTTGGATTATATAACGTTTCTTTCCAAGTGTCTTTCAGTAAACCAGTGAGCTATTCATTCTGTAAAACTCTGCCCTTTGAACAGAACTGCACATTCTTTTGTAGAGCCCCCTGGGCTGCAACTCAGACCTGCATTTTCTTGTCCTAAGGGGAAAGATATACGTCCTTTAGGAAGAATGATACCACCTTGCTCTCCTTACCCTTTGCAATTCCAGATTACCCCTGGAACAGCTGGCTTCGTGTAACAGTAATTCACAGTCCTCAGTTGGATGGCTGCAGAGAATTCTTCATTATTGAGTTCAGCGAGGGCCAGCGGTGTTACTGAAGTGGTAATTGAATTTGGTGATCCCTCCGTGGCCCAGACGGAGTCCAGCATAGCACATTCTGCCTGTAAGGACCATGCGGCGTGGTTAAGATGAATATGCTTTCAACAATAATGAATCTTTAAACTAAGCTCAACAGCACAGAGCCAAAGGGATATGCGGCTTTGATGATTTGACTTAAGACATGGAGCATTTTGGAGTGAAACCAGTTCGGAAGGATGACAACGTGGACCTGCTGCCAAGGAAACACAGAGAGAGATCTCATTCTGCTTAGAATCTCCACCAAGAGCTTTACTGACAACCTCATCAAGCACAGATCAGTATGGGACGTATTATTTCCTTGCATAGTTAAAAATGCCCTTGCCTCATTGTTGAATCCAATCCTTGTCTGGTGAAAGAAAAGAAAAAAATCCCCCAAAATTTTCAATGAAGTGTGCCTTATCACTGAGCCACAATTACATAAGTGCTTCCAAAATTTCACATTCACAGAATGATCTCAGCAATCTCACAGCTTTGCAATGCTGTTTCTAAAAGAGAACATTTATAGTTTGGGAAAATAGCACAAAAAATAAAAACGGTTGGAATTGTTTTGGTTGCTGAAAATACACTTGGCCTCTGCGCTATGGCCCTGTAAAAAGGAAAGGGCCTTGGCTCTGAGCTCAGGCAGACCCTGCGTTTGAACCTCAGCTCCTTCATTTACTGTGTCCTTAATAGGTCATTAGAGTGTTTGAGTTTCGACGCCTTTTCCCGTAAAAATGAGGTCAGTAATGTCTGCCTCTGAGCATGACAATGCATAGAATAAGGGGCAGTGCTTGGCCCTACTGGATTCTTATTATACTAACAGCTGTCATTTGCAGGCCTACTATGTGCCTGGTATAGTCAATTGTTTATGAATACACATTATCTTACAACAATATGTGGTTGATACCCAAAGTGACCAGCTCATCCCGGTTTGGCTGGTACTACGCTGATTTTACAAGAGAAATTCTTGAGTCCCAGGGACCCACTCAGTCCACGACAAACTAGGGCAATTGGTCACTCTGTGAATATTATGGTCTCATCTTACACATGTGGAAACTGAGGCCCAGAGGCTATGTGCAAATTGCTCAGTATGCCACAGCTGGGAAAGAATAAGGCTGGTACTCACACCCAGGCTGGAAAAGCTCCCAGGCCTGCCCTCTTTCTGCAGCCTGAATGCTGCTCAGCAAATGTTGCTCTTCCTAGGATGTTCAGATCTTAGCAAAGGTTTGTGGGTGAGATCACATTTTTTCAACTGTCTTTAATTATAACTTCAGGAATGCATGTGTGCACGCATGTGTGCATGTTAATGAGTGGGGATTGCTCTACAAGTGGTAGTTATCGTGAAGATCATAGTGATTGTGATAATGAAAATGATAGCTTAAAAGCCTAACATCCATTTCAAAGAATGTTCTATCTTTTGTCAAGGCACAGCCCCTTTATTCTTCTGCTTTTTCATCTACTCATCCATTCAACAGGTGTACAGTGGGGTCCTCCTGTGTGCCAGGTACTGGGACAGATACAAAGAAGGCCAAAAGGCTGGTCTTAAGAGGCTTAGTGCATTGGGATTTAAAGGATCAATTGTAACATGGTGCGAGAAGTGCAATACAGCAGCAAACCCTGCATGTTTGAGCCCTCTGCCCCTCCCCTCACCAGCGGCTCTGGCACACGGATCTTCTTTCAGGAAGCTCCAGGCTTATTCCTGACACTGTTTTTCACTGTTACCTCTGCCTAGAAGATTCTTTCTCCTAATCTGGATCCTTCAGATCCAAGACGAAATATTACCTCTTCACAAAGAACCTCCTTGGCCACTTTGAGTTCAGTTACTCACCGAGAAATTCCCTATTCGATCACCCCATTTTAATGATCTTCGTAGAGTTTGTTTATCGCTATTTGATATCTATCTTGTTTGACTTTCGTATTTATTGCTTTTTGCCTGTCTTGGCCAACAGAGTGTAGATTCCGGGGAGGTGAGTTAACTTATTTATTTTATTGTGTTTTTTCTTTTCATGGCTGTATTCCCAGGACCTAAAACAATGCTAGACACACAGGAGCTGTCAGTAAGCATTGTTTGAGTAGACAAAATGATGAATGAATTAATAACTGTGTTGGATGCTGGAAGGAGCGGCCGATTCAGTGTGAGGAGAGGTATGAGGGGAACTTCGCTTGAAGGCACTTGTGAGTTCAGCCTTAGATTGTTTTCCTGGCTAGAAAGGCAGGGTATTCTTAGTTACCAAAAGTTAGTAAAAAAAATCCCAAATAGTGGAAAAAATAAGACCAGTTTGACCCAATCACAAAGGACAGTTTTTTGCAGTTCTCTTTTCATTCGTGTGCACAGATACTTTTGAACAAAGCCAAACCCCACCTTCCATAGTTCTTACCTTTTGGGGGCTGCGTATGTTCTGACATTTTCACTTTAAAGTTTGCTTTGTTCTTCTCAGGATAATGGATGTACTAGGATTTATCTAATCAATCTATATTGCTGGACCTTTGAATGTCCCCATTTTGCCATTACTGGCAGTATGGGGCAGTCTTGCAGATAATCTAGCATGGGTCCATGCGGTAGCTTAATGTAGGAACCAAAGTACTTCGATCTGACTTCTAGATACACCAGTTTCTTTTAACCATTTAGTTTTATTTTACTTATTTAAATTTTTTCTTGTATTTTTTTCTATTACCATTTAGTCTTCTTATACCCCCAGCCCCCAACTGTTTATTCTTAAATTTAAAAAAGTTTTCTTAACTGCAATATAGGGAGGAGAGCTTACTTTGTAAAGCTATATAAAATAAACGCTATAATGAAAGTCAAGTTCTTAGCACGAATTATGGGATACATGTTAGCTCCCCTTGATAACTTCTTTTGAAGTCCAATTGGCTTTTCAATCTGTCTGAAAGGACAAATAGAAACTAGCTAAAGAGATGGGTGGGAACGAACCTGAGATCGAGGGAGCGAAGTTGGGAAGAGGGAAACATGTTTAACTTTATGGAGGAATAGCTATAGACCCCCCGCAGGAGCCAGAAACTACAAAGCATGAAGCTTATGTTGCCACTGACTTGGCATGCATTATTGCTGCCCACGGTTCTGCCCTGCGCTGCAGCTGCCGCTGGAGATGAGCTCTGCTGGGGCTCAGAGCCAGGGCAGGCCAATCAAAATAAAGCTGGTGTTTTAAGCTGGGTAATTGGGTGAACAGAGAGCCCTTTAACTGGATGTGGAAGCCAGAGAGGTGAGTTTGGATCGCTCCAACAAGAAGTTAAATTTTTAATACATAGACGTGGATAGCTGATTGTCCAGAAAAAAAAATATCAGGGCTTGAATTGTTGGTCTGAGTCAACTCTGTGCAGAGCACTTGAGGCCGTGGCGGAGAGACCTCCTCATTTGGGAAGAGCTATCTTTTGTTTTCCTTGCAGTAAGAAGGTGAACATCCATCTAAATGTATCCACTTTGCTTTCAATGGATACTGTGCTCAGGGTCTGATTGAACTTGCACATTTTATTTATATTTGTATTTTCAATAAAGAACTTACAAGCACAAAGTAATAGCAAAATCACACATTGATAAGATCATATTTATTTAGTGTTGTCTGACAAGTAGAGAAAGTAAAAAGAATATTTAAAAATGTATAATTTATATTTCTATAAATACTTTAAAGGAGAAAAGTTGAACACATATGGTGACATTAGGAGAATGTATACATTTAATTTTGCAGCCTACTTTATAGCCTGACAAATTAGATACGTGTATGTATCCACACATGTCTTGTTTGTGAGCTTGCATAATTAGCGCCCAAGGGTAAGTTATGGGTAAGTAATACATTCTAAACTCCCATAATATTTGTGTTATTATGTCCTCCCACTTAGGTCGGTTTTGTTCTTTGTTTGAAAAATTTCAGTACAAACACATTTAAAAATCATCCAAGGTTGTAATCGGGTGCACTGGGCCTCAATTTACTCATCAGGGAGCGGAGAGGGTGCCTTCTGGCACGCTCTGCTTCTGCTGAGTTAAACCCTCGCATACAGACATGCGGGGGCGGTGGTGTGTGGTCCTCGTCTTCTCTGCGTGACCGGGAGTTTTTTGTTCAGCTGCTTTCTATTGGAAAGGAGTCAATTTGTCTGAAGTGAAGCAAGTGTACGACACTAGTCCACTCAATTCACTGTGACATTGTACTACTGTGGATAGAGCTCTTTTCCTAGGATGCAACAAAACAAAACAAAACAAAACAAAACAAAAAAACCTAACAGACTCTGGAGTTCAAGTTGAAGTCGCTACAGACCCTTGGACTTGGAAGTCGCTACAGACCCTTGGACTTGGAAGTTCAGGGTTGAGCTCCTCCAAAAGAACTCAACAGAGTGCCCTCAAGTCAAACCTCAACAGGTGGCAAAATATCTGTATGAGGACGTGATCACTATGATTCTGGACTTGACTGTGTCCTTTGTTAAAGTGACATTCTCTTGAAATTGCACTAATACCTAACAAAGTAAGGGAAGTGTAATGTGATGCAGTCTCTACAGTAAAACCTATATCTGATTTCTTCAATTGATAGAAATTTTCATCTGCAGTAAACACTATAGAACAGTAAATCATCCCAAAGCACTATCCTGAGCTTACCTTGATTCCAAGTTTACAGTTAATCATATCTTTAATTTAAAAACAAGACAGCTATAACTGACCTCATATGACCACAGAAAACACACAGGACTCAGGGGCGAAGTCACGATTCTCATCATTTTTCTCATGTACTTTGGATGATAGGTCGCGCAGTCACTATGGTTTGTCTCATAGGTGTGCGTCCTCCTCCGGGGGCCCAGGTTAGATTTTCCCTTGGCTGCTGTTTGGCTTTAACTCTTGGAGAAATGCCTCGTTGTTGTGAGGACAGTTGTTGTGACAGGTGCAGGTCCCGATGACCATCACCGGCTTCTTGATGATGTGCCCTGGGGCACACTGGAACTCCACCTGGATGGTTTTGGTGTTGTGGGGGGTGCAGCAGCGGCCATCGCTACAGACCCCACAGTACCTGGGCTTGTAGGGGTGCAGGCTCGTGCAGTTCTTGAACTGCAGGTGGGTGGCTTCGAGGGGCTTCACGGTACGGAGACACCTTTTTCCTTTCTAAGAAAGAAGAAAGACAGTGATGCATGGGTGGCTGCTGTTCTTCCCAGGAACCACTTTGGGGGTATGGAATAACTTGCTAGTTGCCTGCCTAATAGCCATTGCTCTTTCTTCTTTGCTAACAGAACTTGAATTTTGTTTGGGTAATGTGGTCAGCTAAAAGGCTTTGCTTCCCCCAGAATATCTGGGAGCTTGGGGTGGCCTTGTGACAAAGTTCTGGCCAATGATACAGAAGCCAAGGGATTCTGGGAAATCCTTCACCCTGCAGACAGGTGCAGTTCTTTATTGCAGCCTGTGTTCATTTTCCTTCTTGCCTAGAATGTGGAAACCGTGCCTAACTGTGCGCAGGCATCTTTTGACCTTGGAGGTGAACATGAGGGTAAAAGCATATGATTAGGAAAGCTATGTTTTCAAGCCACTGTAACAGGGGTTGGTGTTGTATTTAGCCAAATACATTCTTTAGGCATCATGAAGAGAAAGAGAAGAAATCTGGCATCATTGTAAGCCTAAAAACGTTTCAAATACATTTCAAATGTTAATTCATGTGAGGTTATTATCAACAACATTCACTCATACAAGGAACAGTTGTTACTGTAGAAGATAATTGCCCAAGTTTTATAGATAAATAAATGAAATCTCAAAGGGCTAAAGTGAGATAAAACATCTAGTAATTGAAGTTCTTTGATGCAATGCCCAATTCTTCTACTGTACTATATAACCTTACGAATGTCCAAGACAATGAGATTTCAGGTTATTTTCCATGAAGACAAAGTAAGTGGAGAATTTATTGACTATTCCATTCATCATGGTTGGTGAGGAACCCAATATTGATACTCCAGCAAGGAATCGATGATAGGTTTATTTCCCACTTAGATTTCTTCACCCACCCATGTGCCACATTCCTCTACTGCTCTTGACCTTTCTAAGCACAGTCCACAGCTGGTGCGGCGAGGAGGCTTGGAGTTCTCTGAAATGAGTGGCTCTCAGACTTTATTGCGCGTCAAAAGCATCTGGAGGTTTTGCTAAAACAGATTGTTGGGCCTTGCACCCAGAGTTTCAGATTCGGGAGGTCTGACTGAGGTCTCAGTGATTTACATTTCAACAAGTTCTTACGTGATGCCGCTGTCGGGGGGGCCACACTTTGACAAGCACTGTCTTACATGTAAGACTCTCTGGGTAAGGAAGTCATGATTGCCATGCTCGTGTCTGCCCAGATTCCAACTCAACTTCTAGAAGCCTTATGAAGTATACGTACCATAAGTAAATATTGTAAATGGAATCTCAGCATTAAGCTAGGTGCAAGAGAAACTATACATTTTGGTTAAAGAAACAATAATAGGCAACATTTTAGAGGCATGACATGGAAAAACCTTACTTTATACAGAAATTACTGTGTCTTTGACAATATTTAAGATCTTCTTGTTTTTTTCCTTTTTCACATTTAATATTTAGCGTATATTCTTGCCGGCACCCACAGAAATGTACAAGGCCAACAGCATCCCTTTGTGTGTGTGTATATTTGTATGTATGCATGTGCTTTTGTGTGTGAGAGAGACACACAGGGAGAGAGAGAGAGAGAGAGAGAAGCAGAGAGACAGAGAGACTGCTTTGTGAGCCCACATGACCATGTAACATGTATGTTAGAATTCCCTTAAGTGTAGGGAGGCTTATATGATTTTAGGGATTGGGTATTTCTAGGTGTTCTTTCTAAAGTGGTAAAAGAAACTTAAAGTTAGAATGGACCTTCAGAAGTCATATAGCTCGGCAGCCATATAATGAATGCAACTACTAGAGACTCTTATTGTAGCAATAAATAGAAATTTTAAGCAAAGCTGCCTGACGTCCGCAGAGCAATCGGTGCCCACCACTTTGTCAATGTATCTATTTCACCCTCATGACACCTTTGCGGTAGGTACTGTCAATGACCCCAGTATGTGGGGGAAGGAATTGAGGCTCAGAGGTCAAGAAAACTGCCCAAGACCCCGTGGCCGGTTTGTGTGGGAGGCTGGAAGTTAAAGCCAGAGTTGCACCTTTCTGCATCGGATGGCGTTTTCTCAGTGCAGAGATGCGTGCGTCTTTCACTGCTAGGGACTGTTTGGTTTTGGCCTCAGGTTTGTACAAGGCTTCATATAATAATTTATTTTTGGGGCATGGCCTTTATCTGGGGTTCTAGTAACAAGGCCTGTGATGTCATCAGGAACCAGTCCAAGCTTCTGCTCTGCATGCCTTATACTCAGCACTAACACACTGAGTTGATAGAATACCAGCAAAAAAGGAAAGAAATGTGCTATTTTATTTGGCAAATACAGCCTTATGCTGGCAAATATACTAGTCCCACTGAGCCTTTTAAAACATTGAAACTCATTCCCAGACAGCCATTCATTTCTTCATCAACAACATTTGATCAAGTACGCACTCTAGATCAGTAGGAGGTTGGGGACTGAGGGGTGAGTAAGGCCGATATAATTCCTACTCTGTTGCTCATTACAGATTGAACCTCACGGCTGAAGGAGACTGAGGTCAGAAATGAGGACCTCTAGGGACACTGAGGTCAGTCTCTCTAGAAACTTACTTTCAGGTGGTGAACATACAATACAATATACAGATGATGTAGGATAGAACTGTGCACCTGAAACCTATGTAATTTTACTAACCCATGCCACCCTAATAAATTTAACTAAAAAGAAGAAGTGACCCCTCTAAAATCAACTACCCTTGGCAATTGAGTAGCCACTGTCTTCCAGGAACAGAATGAGATCTGCCATTCCCTTCTCAACTGGGGACATTATGATAACTGTCCGGACCCTCCCTCTTTACCTGGGAGCCTCTTGTGAGTTGCTTGGGGTATTTCAATACATTCAAGAGGAAAAAAAAAAGAAGGTAACCTCACTCCCTTCAAGAACCTTTCTGTCTTTCCTCTGAGATTTCCTCCATGCCAGAACTGACCTGCACTCAACTAGTGGCGCAGTGATTTTCCAAAGCCCAGACCCCAACGAGGTCGGGCAGCCTCCTCTGTAATGGGAGGTTTCCAGCAGGCCCCTACCTTATCTGCTTGTTGCTTGGGCTCTGGTTCACAGGGCCGCACCATACAGAGCCGGGTCCGCTTCACCATCTCACACTGGGGATTCCTGTTGGTGACCTGCGTGGAGAGGCCCATGCCGCAGGTCTTGGAACACGCGCTCCACTCTGTGGTCTGTTCAATGCAGTTGACACCTGAGTCAGAGACCGCGACCCCCAGAGTGGTTTCTGTCCTGTAGGCTGTAGGAAATACAAAGAAAGACAACTAGGCTGAGTGAAAAAAGGAAGGGGTTCATCATCATTAGAAAAAGGTTTCAGCCAACTCTGCATCTCCTAAAACTCTGGTGTTCTCGGGGATGGAGCCTATCTCTGTATTTGTAAACCCCTAACCAGTTGCACGGTGCCTGACATGTTGAGAGCCTTCAGGAAATCTTTGTGGAATGACTGTTTAACTTGTCCTTCTGAAGCTCAGGATCACCTGTCCTTAAGAAGCTTAGGGATTTTAAGAATATAGAATGGTTTAGCACCGACAACCTTTCCATAAATGATAGTGTTTTTAATACGTGATCTTGTGAAGAAAAGGAGTCATGGAAAAACTTCAGTTGGATGCATAAGTAGAACCAACTGACTCAAAATAGTGACGAAAGCATGCTTTGCCTTAGGGAGCCAGAACTGGTGGTTTGGGTTGTGGGATGCAGACACTGGGGCCTGGACGGCCACCAAACGTCCTGTCTCGGCACTCAGCATCATAACATATCGTGGCCTGGGGCACGTCTTCTCTTCTACGTGACAGTTTTCCTGTCTGATCTCTTGGCTAAGAAATCAAAGCTCTGCATACTGCCAGTGTATACAATCTGTCTGATTACTGCCTTCTAAAATGTTCTCTGCTGGCTCTTGAGCCCCACCCCTCCCCAGAATTATTTCCTTTATAAGATGAAGCAAACAAACAAAAAAAGTAAAACAAAGATCCTGAAGTGTCACTTGACCTTTTCCTACAGCATCTGGAAAGGTGACATTGTTCTGTGACACCTGTTCAACAGTAAGTAGCATTCTTTAGGGAGGCTGGTCTTGAGAGTACACGGCTACAGAATCCACAAAAGAAAAGAGTGTTGTTTTTTTTTTTTACTTTTATCTTTCTGATGTGAATAAAGGTCAAGTGGGATGGGCTAAAATATAAAGAGTAGTTATGCAATAAGACAAAATCAGTCCCATTGCTGAAAAGAAGCACTGAATTCAGCAGGTTCCCTTCAGGAGAAACTGTGCATACCTGTGTCGCTTGGCTAGGAGTCAAACCCATGCTGTGCTGGGCTCAGTGGGCAATCTGGAGCCCACGGTTGAATGGCCAGAAATGGAGGCCAGTCTGTCATTGCAAATCCGAAGGAGTGCCCATGCTTCCTGCCCACCTGTACCCTGTGCCGTGATCACCTTCGTCTATCCCGAGTTTCTCACCTGGAAGGGCATGCAGGTCCCCTAATGCTTCCGTGTCATTTGTGTCACAGATCCACTTTTCACAGCACTCCCCGGGCACTTCAACCTTCCGTGGAACCGGGCAGTCAGGTTGGGGGAGAAGCAGGTCTTCGTTACAGCGAGGCACACAGCCAATCTGCCCATCTCGGCAGGTGCACTGGTACTTGCAGCTGGGCTGAAAGGTCACTCCGCTTTGGTAGATGACCCCATCGAACACACAGTTATCTCCCTCTATCGCTAGAATACGGGGGAAGCAGGGCAGAGAGGGAGTGGGGGAGAAAAACAAAAACATAATGCCTCCAGGAAGCTACTTGAGATTGGCAGCACACGATCCAAAGCCCAGGTTGTTCTGTTTCTAGTGCAGAGAGTCTGGGTTCTTATCTCAGCAGAGTGATATCCTCAAGGAGGGCTCCCTGAGCAAGAAGGAACCTAAGACCATGCAGTTCTGCAGCTTGTTTTATGGATGAGAAGAGGTGTATAACTGAGACATGGTGGTCCTAAGCTCCCACAGCCATGTTCCCTATGATAAAGTTATTTTTGCAAGAAACTCCTTAGATTCTCCTAATCCAGAAGTTTAGAATTAAAAAGAAAAAAAAAACCATGCACTCACGTTCTCCAGATAGGTTAACTGGTCAAATTGGGCAGAGAGTTGGAAGCCCTTGGCATTCCAGCACACAAAAAAATCATTATTAGCTCAGAGAATAAAGTAAAAGGCTATGCCATGCCTCTAATTTAGGGATGCAGGGCCAGCCTCCAACTAAATGGAGCACCACGTGGAAAACCGATGCCCAATTAATTAAGTTTCACCAGCCTGCACTGGCCGGTTGCCTGCATTTTCTTTTATTCACAGCCTAGAGAGGGGTTACATAGCCGTCCCAGGAGACTAGGGGAGGCTTTGGCTCAAACGGGACAATTAGAGGCGTGAAAACCAACCTGTTGGGCTGCAGTCAGGGGAGCTGTGAGCCAGTGAGGAAACCTACGCTTCCATCACCCCCGAGAGGCCCCCTGGAAATGTCCGAAGGAAATGACTTCACCGGCCCTTAACTCTGCTCTGCTCCCCATCTATCCGGAGTCTTCTCTAGGTGCAAGTGATCAAATGCTTTTCACCTCTGGTTTCCGGCGCTCCCCCCAATCGGTCCCTACCCCCCAATGCCTGGCATAGAGTAAGTGCTCCATAAACATCACCTACTGCAGCCTCACTATTGTTATTACTTGCGCATCACCATCTGGGAAGGGGGAGGGAAAGGAGAGGAAAGAGGGGACAGCTCCAGCCAGCCGCAGGACAGAGGCCCATCGCGGGAGTGGGCTGGATTACCCATGCAGATTCCAGTTTTGGCGCTGGGGTCCGCTCTGCGGTCACAGAAGAGGCCGCGGCTCTCCTCGCACGGCTCCATCTCCGAGCAGCTGTCGCCGCGCTGGCGGGCACACACCAGACAGCACGAGCAGTCGTCCAGCACAGCTCTCACCCCGGGGGCGCACGCCGGCGGCGTCTTGGGGCACCCGGCTGGGCATGGGTTGGGGCAGCGCTGAGTGGCAGAGACCTGCGGGCGGGAGAGACAAGAAGGAGAAACCTCTCAGCAGGATCAGTCGAAGGCGGGGTGACCCGGGGACCCAGCATGGGCTGCCCAGGAAGGCAAAGTAACCAGGGGCACCTAAGAGGTGTGCCACTTACCTGTCCCAGGAGATGGAGGAGCAGAAAAGCCAGGCAAAGATATTGAGGGGGCAGATTGAGACTCATGACTGACCCACTCTGCATGCTGAGTCTTTTTCCTCCCGCTTTTACAAAACGAGACTTTCTACGCCGTGGATTGGCTCAGCTCGCCTCCCTCCAGGTCCGCAGATCGCCTCCCTAACCCAGCGCCACCGGCGCAGGTTTTATAGTGCGCTCTAGGGACGCGCACAAGCGGGTTGGCTGCAGCGCTCGGAGGAGGCGGGGGTCGGTTGGGTGGGGAATGGAATGAACCCCGGGGTTGCCATGGCAATTGGCCGTGGGTGCCGCTCTCCTTAGGGCGCGGCACCAGGGCCTGCGAGTGCCTGTGTGTGGCGACTGGCTTGTCCCAGAGCGCGGGGAGGGGCTGGGTGGAGTCCCCAGGCCAGGACCCAGAGCTCGCTAGAGCGCGTGGGAAGGAAACGCCCCGTTTCCTCCTGGAAGCTGCTTTGCCTTCCCCCAGGACTAAGACACCGCCACTCCCCACCTCACTTCTCCGCCCTGGCAGAAGAGCAGGGCTGTGAATGAGGAGCTCTCCTAAAGGGGTGCCTGAAGTTTGGGGCCATCTGTGGGGCGTTGGCGAGAGGCCCAGGGGTTTAGTCATAAGGGAAGCACATGCGAGTTTGTCACCGTTTGGGGCACTCTTTGAAAATGTTGAGAGAGGGGGAGGGAGAAACGGAGGAACTGAGAAAGAGGACAAGGAGGAGGGGGCAGAAAAGAAAATTAAAAAAAAAAATCAGCAATGTTTCGATGCGGGATCCTATTGGCCAAATGGCAAAGTTCATTTGACGAGACCCATTCCAAGCCCCACTGATTTTTAAACGCCCCGTCCCGCAGTTTTGATAGAAATAGAAGCAAGACATAATAAAATAAAAATATAAGAGCTTGAGGTAAATGAAAACTTTCTTCCTGCTGGATGAAAGCCTTGAAACACCTGTTGGATCAGTGGCTGAAAGTACAAGAGGCTTTGAGAGTTCATAAGGCAGGTTCAGCTCAGCCACTGCCAAAACCTCAGTCATCAAGGAAGAAGTGAGGAAGGTACTTGCTGTATTTAGCCAGCCGAACTCCTTTTCCACCCGGCATGCACTTTCAGAACACTGGCCGTCTCTCGTGAGAAGGAGAGCTGCTCCAAAGGGGACATTGGTTGTTGCCTTGAAAAAAAAAAAAAGCCCCCCTGGATTCAACTTTGCTGGTGCCTTTGGGATAATTATGCCCAGCTCCTTTGAGGATATCTGCCTTGAAAAGACACTTTATAAGAAAAATTATACAAGCTTGTGATGTAATGCTAAAGCTGAAAAAAGAAACAAATTGCCTCTACTCCATCCGTCTCCCGTATGAAGTTAAATCAAAGGCAGCTTGTGGAAGGGGCCAGGGCTGCTCCTGAAATTCTTGCCACCTTGGCAATGGAATCATTTCAAGCCCCTTCAGGATAGTTCTCCTGCAGAGAAGCTTGGAACTTGGATGACATACTTCCAAGCCTCCAGTCATTGCTTTCTTTGAGGCCCACCAGACTGAGCAGGAATCAAAGCGGGACAAGCAGTTGAACGGTTAATTTGCGCCATGTCTGGGTTACTCCTCTGCTCTTCAAGTTGATGGGCTTTCATGGGTCATCTGGCCTAGCGATGCTCCACCTGGCTGCCCCAGAGAATGCACCAGGGTGTATCTTGTTTAAACGGTAGATTCCTAGGCTCCAGTCACTTGCAGTCTCTGGTGGTGGCTGTAGGTAGACAGCACCTTAGTTTACCTTAAAATGGAGGCTGGCTTTGGGAAACCTCCATATGGAGCAGCTGGAAGCAGTTGATGGAGAAGTAAGAATATTGGCCAAGGTTTCCAAGTCTGAATAGACAGAACAAGGAGAAACTGGCAGCACTGAGGTTGGGCTGACTCTTCTTGGAAAGGGGAGGCTGAGAGGAGACATGTAACTTCAACGTAAGGACGAAAAAGTCACTGCTGATGTGAGCTGCTACTCAGGCCTCTCGACTGCAAGTGGTAGACACTGGACTACTTTCAGCGAGAAGACTTTCTTGGAAAGAAGCCGTGGTGACATCGTGACAAATAGGAATGGGGCTGCCAGGCCTCGGAGGCTACTGGAATCAGGGTCTCGAAGTGATCAGGACTCCATCTTTCTTTTTAAAAAATTATATATATATATATTTAAAGATTTTATTTACTTATTTTCAGAGAGGGAAGGGAGGGAGATAGAGAGAGAGAGAGAGAAACATCAATGTGCTGGGGGCCGTGGCCTGCAACCCAGGCATGTGCCCTGACTGGGAATCGAACCTGTGACGCTTTGGTTTGCAGCCCACGCTCAGTCCACTGAGCTATGCCAGCCAGGGCTAAATTATATTGTATTGATTATGTTACTACAGTTGTCCTGATTTTTCCACCTTTGCCCCCCTCCACTCAGCACTCCCCACTCCCTTAGGCAATCCCCACTTCATGCCCATGGGTCATATGTGTAAGTCCCTTGGCCACTCTCTTTCCCATCTGTATTTTCATCCCCATGGCTGTTCTGTAACTACCAATTTTTACTTCTTAATCCTCTCACCTCTTCCCCCATTCTCCCATACCCCTCTCCCATTCGGTAACCATCAAAACACCCTCCAAATCCGTGATTCTGTCTCTGTCCTTTTTATTTGTTTAGTTTGTTTTTTAGAGTCTATAGTTGATAGATATGCATTTATTGCCATTTTATTGTTCATAGTTTTGATCTTCTTCTTTGTTTTAAAGAAGTTCCCTTAACATTTCAGGTAATAATGATTTGGTGATGATGAACTCCTTTAGTTTTCCTTGTCTGGGAAGTACTTTATCTGCCCTTTGATTCTAAATGATAGCTTGGCTGGGTAGTGTAATCTTGGCTGTAGGTCCATGCTTTTTATGGCTTTGAATATTTCTTGCCAATTCCTTCTAGCCTGCAAAGTTTCTTTTGAGAAATCAGCTGACAGTCTCATGAGAACTCCCCTGTATGTAACTAACTTCTTTTCTTTTGCTGCTTCTAATATTCTCTCTTTATCTTCGAATGTTGGCATTTTAATTATGATGTGTGTTGGAGCGGGCCTCTTTGAATCCGTGTTGTTTGGGACTCTGTGTGCATCCTGGGCATGCATGTCTATTTCCTTCATCAAATCAGGCAAGTTTCCTTTCATTATTTTTTCAAATGAATTTTCCATTTTTTGCTCTTCCTCTTCTCCTTCTGGCATCCCTATGACGTGAATGTTGGACCTCTTAAATTTGTCCCAGAGGCTGCTTATCCTATCCTCATGTTTTTAGATTCTTTTTTCTTCTTGTTCTGTTTGGTTGTGTTTTGCTTCCTTATGTTCCAAATCATTGATTTGATTCTCAGCTTCATCTACCCTACTGTTGTTTCCCTGTAAATTGTACTTCATCTCAAGTAGTGTATCCTTCATTTCTGACTGATTTTTTTATTCTTTTGAGGTCCTCATGAAGTTCCTTGAGCTTGCTTATAGCCAATGTTTCAAATTCTGCATCTGATAGATTGCTTATCTCCTTTTTGTTCAGTTCTTTTTCTGCATTTTTGAACTGTTCTTTCATTTGGGCCATGTTTCCTACTCTCCTCATTTTGGCAGCCTCCCTGTGTTTGTTTCTATGTATTAGGTAGAGCTGCTATGACTCCCTGTCTTGATAGTGTGGCCTAGTATAGTAGGTATCTTGTAGGTTCCAGTGGCACAGCCTCCCCTATCACCCAAGCTGGGTACTCAAGATGTGCCCTTTATGTGGGCTGAGTACACCCATCTCCTGTAGTTGAGACTTGATTGCTGTTTGTAGGTCAATGGGGAGGATTTACCCAGTCCAGTCAGCTGTAAGGACTGGCTGTGGCCACTGACCACCAACCTCCTTCCTCCATGGAGGATCAACCATGCAGAGGCAGAGTGGTGGTTCTACAACATGGTCTGTAGCTATCCACTGGGTGTCTCGGTTCTGGGGTTTCCTGGGTGATGCAGGCCACGATCAGCCCCCACCTGTATTATGCCCGGGGCTGCCCTGCATGAAGTGTAAAACAATCTGAGATGGCTGCTATTTGTGCTGGGCTTGGAGATTCCTAGGCAAAGCCGAGATGTGAATCTTGGTTCTCTGCTGCTAGTGCTGGGCCTGGGACCACTTAGCAAGAGATATGGGACCCAGGGACTCACTGAGGCCAGTTGTTGCTTGTTTGAGAGGATTTATGTTGTGAAGCATGAACCAAAACAGCCAGTCATGTTGAAAAGTCTCTGTTAAGAGCTTGGGTGGGCCTGTAATTTAGGTGGGATAGAGTCTCAGGAGATCTCCAGTGCAGGGCAAACACTGTTAGCCAGGTTGGTGGAGTCTCAGATACGGCACTTACTTGCTGGCTCTGTGGCTGTGTTGGGGGAAGGCTCAGAGAAGGGACAATGGCCTCTGCCTGCCTTTCTGTCTGGGAGAAAGCTGTCCTCCCAGCTCTCACCTTGATGCCAGACACTTCAGTTCCTCCCTGTATGCCACTGGTGATTTTCAAGGTGCTACCCTGGTGCTGGAGCTCAGAGGGAGTGAGTCTCAGTAAGTCTGCTGGGAGGTTCTTTAAGAGGAACTGCTTAGGACTCCAAAAGTTTCTTCCACTGACTTAATCCCCAGTGGTGTTTGCAGTCAGAAGTTATGGGGATTTATGTTTCTGGCACTGGAACCCTGGGCTAGGGGGCTGGTTGTGGGGCTGGGACTCCTTACTGTCAAGATATCTGTTCCGAATTTTTAACCAGCACACGTGAATGTGGGCCCCGCCCATTCCACATCATTGCCCCTCCTACCAGCCTGGATGAATATAGTTTGTTCAACTCCATAGTTGTCAGACTTCCTATCAGCTCAATTCCTGATGGTTCTGAGTAATGGTTGTTCTATACTTTAGTTGTAACTTAATGTGTCTCCATCTTTCTGTTATATCTTCAGTGTTTATGTGTCGACTTTGGTCTGTTCTACTACAGACAAGCTTCTTCCATATATAGGACATGTCATCCTTAAATTCTCCCCAACCTTTTACATTATGACCTTATCACCTCAGAAGGTATATCCCTTTCCCTTAGGCTCAATTTGGAAAGTTTCAGGAAAAGTGCCTTCAACTGGCAACCGGAGCCAATAGAAGGAGACAAGACAGGTGAGATATGGGATGAGTTGATACCACATATTTGGAGTAGGGAGGAAGGATAGTTTCCCGGTAAAGAATTTTTCTTTAAGAAGAAAGCAAGCATGCAAAACAGTACTTCTACCCTCTTCTGTCAGCTATATATGCTCCTGGGTAAAGGTTTCCTTGATGACATAGTTGGAAATGGAAAGTGAAGGCACTTGAAAATAGTTCTGCCAGATCATGCTTTGCTACCTCCGGGA